ACTATAACCTGGCATAACTGAGCCACAAGACAAAGAGTCAGGGCCCTTGACAACTTGACAGAAGACAGCCACGTATCAGCTTGGATTTTATATGAAAGAGAAATCAACTATTTCATTTAAGCCACTTGTTAATTTTTTTTAAATATATGTGACACAGCCCCTGCATCTATCCTAACTCAACAGGAGGCATCATCTCTAGAAGAGAGACTAGTAAGAATTAAATGAATTTTTTAAACTCAAAGTCCATGATCTTGAGACCCTCCCCAGCCCCTAGTGTTAACATAATTCAAGACTCCTCAGAATCTCCTGTACTCCTCTGGATCTCTCTATTTGATAATGTCTCTTAAAGGCTGACACCCCAAATAAACATGAATTCTTTATAAGCTGTGCATAGAACAGAAAATACTTCCCAATATAACTTCCTCATATGTTTAAAACAGGGGAAATTTCTGTATTTGTTGGCCTTAGCAAAGCTACAATAAATTCTTTCTTTATATGCATTCTTTCAAAAAATATTCATAAACTGACACAAGGTTGAATGACAAATAGTGAATATCAACTTACTGGTGAAAATGGCATTAAAATTTCTGTTGCTGGTGAATCCTCCCCCCTCTTCACCTCTAGCCTGTACCCCAGTTATTGAATGCATAAATAAATAAATCTTTAAAAAAAAAACCCAAATACAGTACAATTCAATTTTGGTTAAAAAAATATATGCGACAAGTGTGTGTGTGGAAGGGTGAATGTGTGACAGGGGTGTGTGTGTGTGTGTACACAAACACTTCAAAGTTACACAGCAAGGCATTATCAATAGTGACTATCTATCTCTTGTAGGCTTATTTATATGCAATTTTTGTTCTTTTTTTCCCCCTATTTTGTAAGTTTTCCACATGAATCTACACTACTTTTGCAATAAGGGAAAAAGTTACTAATAAAAAGTACACAATGTGCAGTGAATTAAAATCTTGCAAACAAGAAGATGTACTTTGGCCAAAGAAAAGAAATCCCTTCAACTTGTTTACAAAGTAAATGATCCAATACACAGATGTACTCATTAGCTTCCTGGACACTCCCTGAATTCACATGGTTTTTGCCACAAGTTCAAGTGAAACTACAAAAGTATTTAGCTATGAGCATAAAAAAAAAATAAAAAAAGATGGCCAAAGGCAAACTTGTGTACCAGAAAAAGTACTGAAAATGTTCTTTTTACTCTTTTATTAAACCAGACCAGGAATTAAACCAGCTTTAACAAACACCTCAAGAGCCATTTAAATGATAATACAGAAGAGTGTGCTGACAAGATTTAAAGATGCAATATTCTGTTTCTTCTGAAAGGCTTTCATGACTGTATCATTATGTAATGATTGTTTATTAGATCACTATAATCATATAATGTATCCTCTAAATGTTTTATTACTTATGGCATATCAAATCTGACTTTTATCCCACTCATATAAGTAACATTTATTACAAATAAGTAACTTTTAGTTCCTATATTTTTTTCTAGTCTCTTCATTGGACAACCTTTCCAGGAGAAATTGCATCCTTCTAAAATTAATTTTCACTATATCGTTTAAAAGGTTTAAGGAAATTCTAGATGAAAAGTTCTGTAAGCAGGTTTATTCAAAACAGACTGGAATCTAAGAAACCCACAATAAGTATGTCTACAACTGCTCCCCAAGCTTACTGTCCCCTCAGTGTAGTATCTTAAGCATACTTACCTCCTCTTAGCCTCTCCTGCCATTTTGCTATTACTCTCAACAAAACAAATACTCTTCTTGACACAAAGACATTTATTATAGCATTACCATTTCATCAGTTACATGAGAAACCTCTGAGTTCAAGTTTTTATTAGATCCTGTCTGCCTGGGCTATTTTAATAGCCTCCTAATTTGTCTCCCCAAATTTCATCTATCCCCACCTGAATCCAAAAAGCACTAACTGTCAGCTTAAATACCACTTTCATCATATTACAAGCTCCTGCAATAATTTTCGATTGAATTTTATCCTATGAGCAGTGGAAAACAAGTTCTTTATAAAAGCATTCAAAAGCATTTATTTTTTGCTTTTGTCACTCTGAGCTCTCCTGGTCCATCACCAGTATTTACTACTGCAGACTTGCTCAGTCGCCCTCCCCCCACTTCCTTGTCATGCGAATTCATCCTCTCAACAACCTCAAACATAAGTCTAATATAATTTTCAGTAACTGCTGCAGCTGTAAATAAAGTTTTGCCTTAGAATTGCCTGACTGATTAGGCACTGAATCAACTGTCTTCTCCTACTGTCAAGCAGTTATACATCTACGATCTAATTTCATTAAGTAGAGATAATACCCTATGGGCCTTCCTGTGGTACTTCTCATAGCCCTGGGCATGAGAATCAATATTCAGTGAACAATGAATGAACTGCATCTTTAGTTTTTGGCACCAAAACTAAAGCAAATATATTTCTAATTTGCTATGTACCGTACGGTTTTTCTCCAATAAAATAAATATTACTTAATGTAGGCTTATGGCCTGCTGTTTTTAACTTTTGTCATATTTTTACAGAAGTGTTAGTGTTAGCTAACTTACAAGAAGTACACAAAGTGCGCTTTAAAAAAATCAAGATCTAGCATTCAGACGTGCACTGTTTAGACTGACATCCAAGAATTAAAATTGATGCGTTTTTTCAATAGTTCACATGCTTCAAGGTATTTCAGTTCTTGTCTTGAAAAATGAGTCTTTCTCGAATCAACACTTTCATAGTTGTCAGATTAAAGGAACTACATCTAAAAGCTAGAGAAAAACAAGTCCTCTTGCACAAGCTCCTTCTCTTCTCTTTGCAATCACACTGGGTGCCAGGGCACTGTTTTAGGTACATTACCTGAGTAAGTCCTCACAATTCCACATGCCACTGATGGCTTCTATTTTACAGACGGAAGGTTTGGGAGGCGAAATAACACACCCAGATTCACTAAGGTGGAGCTCGGATTTAAGCTCATATCTGCTTCATTTTAAACCCTGTTCTTAGCTTTATACCATCCACCTCTCTTTAACTTCAAAGGCACAGGTTCCATATTATGAATCATTTCTCTCCAAGCTATGCATGGTTTTTTGTTTTTATTTTTTTTTTTGTCTGTCTGGTTATATGAATCACTATTCTTAACCTCACTGACCTTGATTAAAGTCAAATTTCAGCTGGAAGCGAAAGGGTTAAGTTTAACTGTGTACTCTGCATTTTCCTTTCCTTTCAATTCTCATAAAGTACAAATCAAATTATACATCTTGCTTATTTAAAGCCATTAGGAAAGATCCATTTAGCACCACACAATTTTCTCCTTTATCTGGTAGCGTGAGTCTGAAATGAGACAGCCCATAGCAGAACCTTGGCATTTCACTTACTAGATGTAGGGATCTCATGAAAGTCTCAGTTTGTTCATCAACAAAATGGGCGCCCCTACCTCATAGGCTTGCTGTAAGAGTTAACAAGCATATTTAAAGGGACCAACCTGTACTGGTCTCTGTAGAAACGACCATTGGCTACACCAGGTAAGTGATAATCTGAGGGAGCAGAGAGGTAGCTGGCCAGTGGCCTCAACCAGCAGGTGTCACCACTGGTCCAGAAGAGCTGGTCTGACCGCCAGAAGTGGGTGGGTGGCACCCTACAGCAAAGCAGGGTCAGATTGTCTGTCACTTGCACACACCGTCAAGAACTGGCTTTGGCTTTTGAACACTGTGAGAGCCAGTACCGTATTTGTTGCACCAATGTAAGTTAAATCTCTTAAGCACGTTAAAAATGATGGCAGTGCAAAAAAAAAAAAAATGATGGAGTGTAATTAATTACCTGGATATCCACAGAAGATGTGGATTTCTGTCATCACAGGAGAGTAAAAACTCTCCTAGGTCAAAATTAAATTTTTATATTCAACAGTGCTTCAACATCCTTTGATTTCACCAACTGGATATTTCGATTTTCTGGTTTCCAGGCCTTTCAATATTGCCACCACGGAAAATTCTCTGGCCCCCATGCCGCAAACCATGGACATTACTTCACTTACATTAATAGGAATGGCAGATCAAAGGAAACCGGGTAGAAATAAACTCTACAACAAGCAAATTTAGGCAAAATAAGCTTTAACTATTAACTTTCCCTTTCCTTGTTCTCGGGTACTTTTAAGTTCACTTATAATCTTGTATTTTTCTATTTTCTTGAGGAACACTTACCCTAAGGTACACTTGTCAAGCCTCAAACAGCTGTGAAATTCAAAGCACCCTACCAGCCCTCACCAGCCAATGACTCGCCCTGGCAGTGCCCAGGGGTTCAATTCAAAACGAGCGCTGGGCAGGGGCTCTCCTGGACCTAAGTCCTCCACACTGAGATCCACCAGCGGCCAGATCAAGACGGGGAATATCTGTGTTGGCGTAACTGGAGGCGCGGCTCTCTGGGGAGGCATCAACTGGTGCCCCAGTCTGCCAGCGAATACCTGGCTCCAGTCAAGCCCAGGCCTTCTCCAGACACATCCTGACCGCCCAGGCTCCCAGCAGCCTGCAAGGGCGCAGCAGCCTGACCAAGCATCATCTTCGGCCAGTCCCCTCTAGGGAGTTCTCTGCCCCCTCCAGCACTTTGGCTTATTTTGTTTCTATCTCAGCAACAGCTCAAGTTCCACGATGCCTTTCGCCAACATGGAAACATCTTCAGAGAAATCAGAAACATCGTTTCCCACTGGCCCTGGCTCCGGTTCCTAGAGAATTCAGGAGGGAAGAGCTGCTCCCAGGAACCATCTGGAACCGGGCGGGCAAGAGCCAAGCCCCACGGAGAGGATGAGCCATTTGCGAAGCACTCCGCGGATCAATACATCCGGACGGCTCCCAGCCTGGCCCCCGAGGAAGGCGCTCACGAGGCTGGCCGCCCTCCCGGAGCAAACGGGTCAAGCCCGCGATGCTGCCGAGCCCACGAGCCGCGCAGGGGAGGCCGAGCGCGCGCGGCGGGGAGCGGGCATGCCCGCGCGGGCGCGTTACCTGGGAGACTCGGCGGTGAAGCTGCCGCCGTCCAGCAGCCGCATCTTGCAGAAGAGGACCCCGTTGACGAAGGGCACCGAGGAGAGCTCCTCGAGCTCGAAGTCCACCTTAAACTTAAACTTCTTTTTCTTCATCATCATGAGAGCCAGGCGCCGGCGAGCCGGGTGCGGGGGCGGCCCCCAAGGGCGC